CTATTAAGACCATCAGTTAGCTTCTGCTGTCCAGTTTGTTTAGTCATAATCTCTTAGTGTCTGAAAAGGATTGGCCTGCAAACTTCTTAAACTGTTTTTTTTCTCCGAAAATGCTTACCTATGATCCTTTGTTTACTTGCTATTGGTTGACTGCAACATTCCTCCAATACTCTCGATTTACTGTGACCCTCATAATATCACTTTAAGGCGTTTCCATGTATTTCAACTGGTGTTTATTGTTACCCTAATGATGAAGCATGCCAATTAGCTATCGAGACGGTGAAGAAGTTTTTACAAAAAAAGGATAACTACGAAAAGGTCGTTAACCTCTTTAAAACTCGTGTTTTCACCTCAAATTTGTACTGTTAATGAACTTAATTCAAGTTAATTGTATCAATTTCCCGCATCAATGCATTCTTACTTAATTTTTTAGATTGATCGAGTCGTCTTCTGCGTTTTCCTCGACGTTGATTATCAACTTTATAAACTTCACCTCCCAAAAATTCTGGCAGACGTAACTATTGAAGAATAATTAAATGAGCCGTTCGACACTGTACGTTCGCCAATTCTACAGATAAGGATGGATATTTCAGGGCACTAATTGCAGGCTAGTGAGTCTGTAAAATTTTACTTCTTTCGCTAGCTTCTCCTCTTTAATCACGCTCACCTTAGCCGGTCCCGCCTTCTACTCTTCTCGTTAATGTTGTGTTCCTATTGGAGTTTAAGCGAAAATACAAATCTTAAAATAAGTCGGTGCTCCCTAATCTGTTTGACTCGTCTCACCCGTGTTTGGTCAATGCAGAATTTCTGTCAGTTTCGCAATTTTTAGTGTGTACTAGCTGGTTTTCTACTTGGTTAATCTTTCGCGGTGACTCTCTCTGTAGCTGGTACCTAATATATGGTTTTTACACGCTTGCTTCGTTCTTACTCAAATAAAATGATTTTTAATAAAATCGCCAAAATTCCAAAGTAGGTCAAGCTGGAAAAGTTTCTTCAGCAGTCAGCTGTAGAATTCTTTGAAATCACCTTATTTGGACGTTAACAGCCCTCCAGTCTTCTCAGGCCTGCAATGCGTTTCCCATGACGTTCCCTGTCTTCTTTCCTCTAAAAAACCTCCCCGGAAATCTTTCTGATGACCACTACAAAACATTCAAAGGTGCTGGGTTGCTTGAGGCACCTGTCGGCTCCGTCACCACTTGCCATTCTGCTTGTTTTCAAACCTTCTGCGTCATTTGGTTCTGTGCGCCAACCTCAGACTTGCGCTTCGTTTCCGCTAGGCATTTCTCGACCCAAAGGTGTGCCGCCTTACGTTCCAGAGATTCTTTTGTAGGCTCATTCAGCGCTCTTAACTTAATCAAACGGTTTTGATCAAATCTGGTGTTTTGGCCCACCCGCAAGCATCATTTGGAACTAATTTTTTTGGACTACTCTTGCGCGTTATCGCAAAACTCGAAGCTTCAAAGAGCGCGTGCACAGCGACACATTTCTAGCTTTTCAAATGTGTACTGTTGTCAGACGCTTTATAGACCCAGAGCACCCTGCCCTTGACTCAGGCACCCAACAGAAGCAGCACCTGTCCGTCCGCCTTCATGCACTACAAAGCGCTTAGCAATTTTAAGCATCCTTAGCATCCATCTTTGGGCATCTTGCAGCGTCGGAATGGCCAAACTTCCGCCACACGTCCGACCCGAATTAAACAAACTTTAAGAAGTATGCCCTTACTTCTATGCGACCACAAGACGGCTGTGAGTATTGTGTACTTTAGCCAAGAGAAGCTTCGAGAAACACTACTGTTATGCTGTGAACTGTTCCAATACTCATGAAGGAACCTCCACAAAGCTTGAGCTTTCTGGTATTAATACACGAAGATGCAGAACAAAAGAAAATAGCTAGGAGAAAGTGGTGACACAGACTTTTACTTTTTATTCCGAGACCAATGAGCAACAGTCCAGCTAGTGCATTACAAGTAAACAAATTTACACTCCACAGTGGAGCTTTAGCTTGACAGAGCAGCTTCAAAATGAGATCTTATAAAGCACAGCCAATTTTCAAATGGCGAGATAGATCCGTCTACGGCGTTTACCTCACGGATGGATATGTGTTAATCCCATAGAGCACCATAAATCATTTTAACGTTACGGATATAATGTTTATCTCCTCCTTGGGGCGACCGCTTTTCTCGTAAGTGTTGACTTGACTGATCTTCTGAACTACGCTAAATCCCTCAGTGACCTTGAAATAAAATAAACCTCGTTAAACTATTTCAAAGCTTCGTACTGAACTGAGTTTGGCCAGATACAAATTTAAATGACAAGGTATGAGCATTTCAAACAGGTAAGCTTCCTTTTAAATGCTGTACCCGGACTTGTGAAGATGTATGAATTACTAGTCTCATGCTAGTTTTGCAATCAGGTACTCCCTATCTGCTCTCTCTGATTCTCAATATGTATCCTTTAATGAAGTTAACGAACTCAGAGAGACATTGAAAGTAACTAGTAACTATTTCCGATTCTATTTAGTAATACTAAAACCTTCATCTTAATTGCACAAACGACCCAAATACGGATGCCCCTCTATGAAACAGGACTTCTTTCGCAGAAAATTATGTGCAGCACCTTAGAAAAGTAGAATACAGTAAAATTTAACCTGGCCAAAGAGTGTGTTCTTCCCATCTAACCAGTCAGCAGGGCAAACAGTTATAAAGAACTGTGATCCATTTGTATTAGGCCCAGCATTAGCCATTGAAACCATGTAAGGTTTATCATGTCTTAAACGTGGATGGAACTCGTCTTCAAAATCCTCACCCCAGATAGACTGGCCTCCAGTTCCCTTACCCGTAGGATCGCCAGTCTGAAATTAAGTACAAAGAAATAATGAAATAATTTTTAAGTACAATTAGCTCAAGGAAATACACCTATTCTTCAAGGGTGAAACATACGGGTTAAACTATTTTCAACAACTATAACAAAACAATTGGGTCAATAAAACGATATTCAGTTTTATAAACAACCAAACAGATCTCACAATAAAAAGTTTTTTTAAACGTGAACAACGTTTAGCTGATTTTCAATCAACACATAATTTACACCATTTCATTCCACAAACCTGAATCATGAAACTTCTGATAACACGATGGAAAGTTAATCCATTATAGTAACCCCGTCGCGCATGAGTGCAAAAGTTCTCCACTGTTTTTGGGCACTCATTCGGGAACAACTTAACATGAATATCTCCGTACGAAGTATGAATCACGGCTTTATCTGTTATTCTGGACTCAGGAAGGTCTTGCTAAAAATATTTAGGAAAGTTTCGTTAAAAATATCAACATTTTCAGCTGTAAAGCATGTGAGAAGCCAAAGAAATTAACCAAACACATTTCCTGTTAAATTTCACAACTTACTTCTACTGCAGTGATAACATCCTCTTTCTTCGGCTTCTCATTAAAAACGTCACGTCCCATACCAATCGCATCATTTTCTTCACTGCCCTCAGTAGAAAATGGTTCCGTATTTGTAAACAGATAAAAGCGACTTTTTCTATATGCACAAGCAACCTGCAATTCCAAGACGATTAAGAAAAAATCTTGTTAGGTTTACTATAAGACCAAAATTTAGCCGAAAGAAGCCAGTAAAATCCCGTTGACCCCACAGCCTCAAAATAAAGATTTTTAAAAACAATTTCTACACAGTTGCTCTCTGAAAACTAGAAAGAGTGAAATACCAGCATAGGATCGGGATCGGTCTTGTTTAGATTAGGATTTTCTGCGGCCACCATGTCGATAGTTGCTGCAGCACCCTGTGATGACAACCGTAATGAATCATACTTACAGTTGAGGAAGAAAGAAACAAAATAATTTATCAGTTTGTTGGACGGAATATTGCCTATACTCAAACGAGTAGTGGAATTCAATTTTTGAGCCTTATAGGAATAAAATGCAACACAAGCCCCATCTCAGAAACGAATCTTATCAACCAACCAAAAAAAAACTTTAACGAAACATGTGGACACATGATAAACACGGAACTGTCAGGAACCTGAAGCTGATCATTAACGTTTGGAACTGCTCTGCACAAAGAAACTCCAATAAGTCTTAAGTTTTCACTTTTGCCGATTTCTCTTGTAACTTCTTCGGTCACTAAATTGAGCACCTGGAAAATTGAAATAAGTTAAGGTGAGAAAGAAAAAATTAGATTAAAAAAAACCAGAAAAAAAGAGAAACACAGCTGGTAGGAAATGTGCCAACAAGAATTACTAAATGAGTGGCAATTTAACAATTACTTTCACTCCAACAGGAGTAGGATATAACAGAAAATTACTCGTTTCATCAAAACAAATAACTAAATGCTGAAAAGTAGTTTCATCACGATCCAGCTCTCTTTCTAAAGCCATCCTTCTATTCCATTCCATATTTTGAATACCAAAATTTCTGGAAAGCACATTAGTAAGTTCTTACAAAAACTAGCAAAATTTCAAGATTTCATCACTGTAAAACAAACTTATTCAGTTTCGCTTGATCTATATAGCTCTGTAACGTTTCATCAATGACTTTAAACAGTTTCCCTGTTTCAAAATTGAAAATGCGGATGCGGCGGTCGGCGCCAAATGCAGCAAAAATACGACCGTTTTGAGAACAAACGAGGCAACGAGGAGGAGATTTAATCTAAATATGGTCAAAGAAATAAGGGACAAAGAAGATAAGAATTATGGCTATCTTTCAGACTGACAGCCGCGCTGCGCTGTTCGGCTGGTTGTTTTTGGAAGAAAAGAAGCGTGAACTAAGCGGACAACAACAAAACAAAAGAAATCCAGCTTTGTTATTCATGTTATTCATGCAGACAACGTTATGCCATAAGAACAGGATGAAAGAACTTCATACATGTATATTAATAAGCACAAATATGCATATATCCATCCCTCCAAAGACTTCGGTACTTTGACCTAAAACCAAGCACCTCACAGTACTCAAATGCCCTTACCTACCTTCAAGCAATCTACAGCATTTGAATGACTTGACTAGTGCCCTGAAAAAACCTGCAGAATTTGAGCACCTTGATTTACTCTCTAAAACATCTGCGTATTCCTACCACCACCAGGCACTCGACAGTATTAAAGTTCCTCAATCTACCCTCAAATACTCTGCGGCACTTAACCAAGTGATCTTTCCTCAGAAAATTTATAGAATTCAGTATCTTAAGTCACCATCAGCATTTATAGCACCTGAACATTCTAACCTACCCTCAGATATTTCAGAGTATTTGAACATCGCAATGTTCCGTCAGTCACTTGAGAAAATTCACGCACCATAACTTCCCTTCTGCTATTTCTTTGCTGCACAGTTACTTATGTAATTTTCCAAAACCTCTCAAAACCTCAAAACGAACGTCATTTCTGTTACTAATCCTCGCAAGTCCTATGTGAATGTTTCACAAAAGTTCTAGGCCTTTTGTATTTTAAACTGTAATAAACCGTGAGTGTGAATGCATTTTTTTAAAAGACCGCTACTTTGAAGCATCCATTGAATGTAAGAATTAAAAACCTGCCTTCACAAATTCATACAAGTCAGTGTCGGTCTTGTAAACCCAATTAACGTTCTTGGGGAAACCGTAGTCATGCTTTGGACCAGACCAGTACTCAATCATTCCACCAGAATCGATAGATATAGTGCAGTCATAAACGAAATTATACTGGAAAGCAGCTAATTTGATATGAGCGTTTGTTTGAAAAAAATTTTTTTCGATCAAAGAAACCTCAAGTAAACATGTTACCTCCATTAACTTTACAGGCAAGTAATGCATCTTCTCAATAATGTGAATAGGCTCGTTATCACCTTTACCGTCAAAAATTATAATCCGACCAGATTCGGAATCAGAAACAGCCAGAGCTTGTATCACATCATAACCTGTAAAAAAAATGTCTTTAAAAAATTCCTTTTTCACATAAACGGTAAAACTAAAAAAAAAGAAGTTCAAAAGCAAACCTTGATGAATCCAGCACGCTGTTTCAGGTGCAAAGTCCAACTTAAACATGTTGATCATATCAAAGTTTGGGACGTCAAAGATTTTCAAGGACTTATCTTCCTTGCAAACTGTAGACATCAGTGTCCCGTTATGGTTTACAGTAATATGTTTAAAAGCATCTAAAGCAAAATAAAAGCAAAGACGAATTTACTTGGTTCTTCTTCTCTAAAGCAGCAGAAAACAACTTACGCAAATGACAGCGAAAATGTTTTACAAATTCGATCCCCTCACCATGTTTTTTCTTCCAAAATTTCAAATGTCCGTCAACACTCGCAGTTATTATAAAATCCGTTCTAAGAAATGAATCAAAAATTAAATTAGCTTCTTAAAACAAAGTCAGAAGTGGAAAAAAATTTGAAATTAATATTTACAATCAAAAGATTACGCTGTGGCTATAACATGAGAGACTGTGTCTCGATGCATAAACGACTTCTCATACTGAGTAGCTCGAGGTATAGCACGCAGATAAGTTTCTTCAAAAAGTAAACCTAAAACTTTATAATCAGTAACTTCTAATGGGAAAACTGCTGTAAGAAACTGTTTACGAACTTCACTTGCATTAAGAACGGAACTTTTATCCAAACAACACTGGTTGCAAACCTTCTAGATAAATTATTTCTTATATTTGACAACAATAGAGCCAACCTCATTGGTAATTTTTAAAAAATATTAGCAATCTACCAAGAACAATCAAAATATGAAGTGTAGAGACAAAAGAGCAAAACAGGCCCATTAGAGATATTTAAATGCGGTACTTTAAATCTGACTGACACTTTTCACAGTTAAAGGTCCTCAATGCAAAACTAAGAAATATTTAAAGGCTGTAGACAAAATAACTGCATAAAAGCCGTGAAATCCCTACCAAAATTGATATTTACCGAGTAGCACAAACGAAACTTAAAATTGCTCTTGATAACCTTTCTTTTTCTTCTGCGGAACTTCATCTTCCTCTGATCGTGGAAGGGTTACCTTACCCTGCTTCTGAGAGCTTCCTTCGGCTTCTACTTTCATTGCCAATAAAGTAAAAGCTCACGCTTTACGTATAAACTAACATTACGATATCAGGTCTATTTATACATAACCACTGTGGTCACTACCTGAAACAAAACATTAAAGCAGTTCTATTAAACCATACATCCAGGCAAAAAACTCAGTTGCGACTCCATTAATAAGTAACGAAAACACACTAGAAAATTCAAAATTAGGCAACAGCAACAGAAATACATTTGTTCAACTAAAAGTGTTTGAACAAGTAAGCTGAAGCGTGCCACTAAATTTTGACAGCATCAAGGTCAATTTTTAGGATCAGATCACTAGAAAGTTAGGAGATGAACAGTCACACCTGAAGTTGCTTGCGGCGATCAAGGTGAGGTTAGGAGCGCACGAGTGAAGAGTGGACGTCGGGTGTGGGAAAAAAATTTAAATTTTATATACACACAAGCACTTCTAACAGCACCTCTGTACTCATTTTTAAATATTTACCAGTAAACTAGTGGAAATCCCATCATTATGCAAAAGCCGTATAATACAAGACTCTAAACCAGAGAACACATAAGAAACCAAAACTTATACTATCGCAAAACCTCGTCAACGAAGTGTGTACAGTTTTGGGATTGCGAAAAAGGAACACTTGATTAAGAGGGTTACTTCAAAAACCAACGCCACGATGGAGTTCATGAGTAGTCAGGAACCACTGTCTAATAAGCTAACTAAGCTAACTTTCAACTTCATACCATATCAAAGCAAATAAGGGTTCAACGAACCATGCTGAATCAAGTCTGGTTCTAAAAACCTTGAGCATCTTGAAGGGAATATACATACCGCCCAACCGTAATGGAACGTCGCCAAAAAAAAGTAATTTATGTATAATATCAGTGTACGGTTGGCTGACGGGTATTCTTACTTTAAAAAGTTTTGTCGTTGGTAATACACAGTCGACACGTCAAGAAGAGTGGCTGAGAAAAAGTGGTTTCAGAAAAAAATTAATAAAAATGCCTCATTTCTCTCTGACTGATAACGAGGCCGAACCGCAATGTTCGAGAAGGCGGATTGAACTTCTGTGCGCTAATTTTTATGTTATCGCCAATTAATTTTTATTGCTTTGGCGCTAAAAAAATGTTTCAAAAAAATTGAAAAGGTTCAAAGTGAGTTTATTTTTTAGACTTATTTTTAAAAGGGTCAAAGTTGGAACTGGAGTTGGGACATATTCAGTTGCTACACTTTACGGGTTATCTCTTGAGACGGGAATTTGAATTGGCGGAATTACGAGAACTAGTAAGGTGTCCAAAATCTCGTGCATCATCGGACAGATTACTCTGTTAAAACGATGACTTTAGACACCAGGGATATTCTGGAAACGACTTTACTAGATTCGCGACAGCCAGTTACCGTTACGTATCTGAGCAGACATGCCGGTATTACAGTGGCAGATGCCCATAAGTTAGATTTCTACACTATTTTATTCATTCGTTTTATGAGTCATCTATTCAGTTTGTGCACTTTTTTAACTGTTAGAATTTTAAAAAAAAAAAAGGTACCGGTAATTCTACGATTGTCTGTGTTGATTCTGTACTATTCGGAAGTTTCGAGTTACTATATAAAGATTGTTTAGGGAGATAAAGTCGTATTATGAAAGTCAGAAATCAACCAATGATTTGCGCGCAGTATATTTAATTAGTGGGACGCTTAAAAATGTTAACGGCGAGGTAAAGAAAGATGAGCGTCCTGAGTGTTCTCATGAGTGCCGTCGTACTGAACTGGTTCGAGAAGAGAAATTAGAATCAAAGAAATCAACCTATGAAACAGTTGATACCTGCGAAATTTACTGTTTGCATATAAGTCCCATAAAGGTAGGCTACTTCCTGATTCTGCTACCTATAGCCGTTAAACTTTCTTCATCGGATATTTGATAAAGATTACAAGTTTTTATCACTTTTTCCTGTGTCTATTACACAATGACTTTTTGCTTTACTAATTTGTGAATGAAAAATTACTGTGTTACCAGCCTTTTGTAGAGCCTTTTGCTGCTTTATAACATCGACCATTTGGATGACGCCAAGTTTATGTTGTCAGATGTTGAAAGAAGTTGGCTTAAATGCCCACAGGCGGGCATTAGTCGTGCTGCGCTCCACGAGAAGCATGAGGAAAGTGCAAAGCTGTTTGCAAAAATAGCAGAGGTGAGGTGTGAAACTTCTAATTTTCTTTGCTCATCAAGTAGTTAGTTGTGAACATGATCCAATTATTTTCTAATCATTGTTTCGCAGGTTCCCATGAAAGAAGGACAAAAGAGACCTCATTCGAAGACACCATCGCCAAAAAGGAAAAGACGTAGTGAAGATGAACATAAATTTGCGGACGCTTGCTTACGAACTAAAATTAGTCCAAAAGTAATAAATTCTTTTTTTCAACATGTGTTTTTGTTAATTTTTGTAGTATTGCTTTTGAACTGCTAAAACAGTGACTCAACTGGTTTTTTAAAAGAAAGGTGATGGCCCTGCGCAAGGTAAAAAAGTTGTCCACCCAAAAGGAGCTGGTTCCGATAACCAAAGTACTCAGGAAGTTAAGCAGAAGTGAGCTTTGCAGTCGAACTTATTTTATTAAGAAATAATTGCGAACAATTTTTTCTAGGTTAGCAACTTCGAGTCGGCTTACTCCAACTGAATTATTTTTTAGACAGAGAGGACGGCGCATTGTTTTAGAAGATGAGGGGGACAAAGTGAAGACTGTCTCATCTAGTGTTGAAGGCAAATGTTCTATGGTAAATGCTCCTTCAACGTCTGCAACAAAACTGAAAAGGAAGGAAGGATATTTGTGTAAGTTAACAATCAGTTTGAAGTTTTCCTACAATCTTACATACACCTTGTAGATGTAAATATTGCAGATTGGAATATTGTTACTTGATTTACTTTTTATTCCTTTTACACTTCTTATACTCAGACAGATGTGGTAGTAAGTTTGTGGTCTTTAGTTTGTATGGTCACATTTTGGTTTGCCATTGATGCTCTTCTTGTTCACCATATAGTGAGATTACTTTCTAGCCCAAAAGGATATCTTTTCAATTGGTGCTTCAAGTTCGGATGAAGAAGTCGGTAATGAAGAAGATTTTGTAAAAGAAGTCGCCTCACGGAGTAAAAAGGAAAAGTCGCCAAGTAAGTTGCTCCCTCTAACGAATTAGCCAAAGAAAGATTATTTTATCAAAGATATTTCTACGTATTACGGTGACAAAAATTGTTTTGTAAGAATTCACAATTGAAAAGCCAAAAGTGTCTACAATGGAGAGTGTCCTAAAGTCACGTCAAAAAAGCAGTGTTGCCACGAAAAAGGAATATGTGACTGAGTCGTTTGTTGATGAGGATGGATTTACAGGTGTGTTTATTTCCGCTTTCAAAAATGGCATGTTTTGAAATTGTTCTTTATTTTCAGTAACCAAGCAGGTTTTGAAAGAAGTCCCGGTGCAAGTCGTCTCTCAAGAAAAGCCGCTCTCTGTACCATTAGAAAAACTTTCAAATGGTAGTAACGAAAACACGAAACGTACAGTGAAGAAACCTGGGGGTAAAAAAGGTCACACGACTCAGTGTAAAATAAGCTCGTTCTTTAAGAAATGAATCATACTGGTGGCTGAAGTAGTTTTAATGGCTTGTAATATTATGTTGGAAGAACATTCGTGAAACGTGTGTACAAAATGATACATCCTTTATGTTCAGCTGGCGAAAATTCGGCTTTTGAGAATGAAATTTAATGTTGCTCTAGGTTGTTTGCTGTAACATTGGCAACGGATTTTTTGTTTCATTTCTTGAAATCTTTGTGCGTTTCATTTTTCATAAAAATTTTAAAGTGCAAGAAGTTTTGCCCAGAATTTATTAGTCACTGAAAGGAGCTCAAAATTGAGTCGGTGTTTTGCCTTTCCTTGATGTTTTATATTTGCATATTATTTTAATAACGTTTTCAAACGGAATATGTTGGGACATTTATACCTTGCCAATCCTCTAGAGTAATACATAATTTTGCATTTTTTGCTAAGTTGTTTCATGTACAGCTATCACATATAAAACACTTTGACCTACTGTTTTAGTAAAATCTTGTCTGATCTGTAGTGTGAATAAACTACGCATTATGAATTAGAAGTATTCTAAAATCAGAAATGACTCAACTGAAGGGCTTGGTGTACTTATGGTTGTCGTTTTTTCATTTTAGCCAACTTAAGAGTTTGTCTTTGAATAGTGGAAGATATGGCTGCTAAATATTTTGTGGTGTTGGTATTTACATTTGTAAGGTTGGGAGTTTCGGGATTAGTGTGACTTCGGGGGCGATTTGTCGGGCGGTCCGTTCCAAAGTTCTTTCGGCTGGCTGTATATTTCTGACGTGGAGTCTGCAGAACGGTTAGGAATAGCAGTTTTGTTGTTGCGTAATGGGGGTGGTGTGAAGCTTTTAAATGCGTCTTCAATTCCAGAACTGTTGAACATTAATTAAAACGACCAAATTTTTTTTGCACTTGCAATTTTTGGCATTGTCTTTTGTAAAACTTCTTACATCTTTGTTTCTCTTCTGACGTCAGCGATGAATTTCCTTGCATTATTTATAGAATTCCAGAATTTTGTACCGGCAGCGATTATTGAACATGATAAACTTGCAGACTACTTGAAGATTCTGAACAGGGTAGATCCTCGCTGAGTTTCAGGACTTTCCAGCTTTGTCTTCTTTTCTAGCGCACTACTTACTGTCTTGAATATGTGTTTTAAAGCTGTTGGTATGTCGTTGAAAATTTTTGCACCCTTTAAAAGAAAAACATGATCTAATTGAGTATAGTTATTAAATGAAATTAAAATTTCTTTACCGTTCTTGGTTGAA